GGGGGGGTGGCAGTCAGCTGCACCAGCCCCACACTGATGAGTCCACAGGAGGATGGCTGCTGCTGCTGGAGTATAGCCTTGACCTTTTAGCGGGGGATTCAGGCAAAGTGGGGCTTAGTAGGTTGCCCAAGGACAACAGCAAATGTGTGGAGATTGAACCCACAACCTTCAGGCTCAAAGACCAATGCTCTACCAACTGAGCCACTGTCGCCCCAATGAGTGTGTGTGTAGTATGTGTATATGTATGGGTGTAGTGTATGTGTGTGTGTGGGTGTAGTGTATGTGTGTGTGTACGTGTGTGTGTGTGTGTGTGTATGGGTGTAGTGCAGTGTGTGTGTTGTATGGGTGTAGTGTAGTGTGTGTGTATGGGTGTATGTGTGTGTGTGTGTGTATGGGTGTATGTGTGTGTGTGTGTGTGTATGGGTGTAGTGTAGTGTGTGTGTGTGTGTGTATGGGTGTAGTGTAGTGTGTGTGTATGGGTGTATGTGTGTGTATGGGTGTAGTGTAGTGTGTGTGTATGGGTGTATGTGTGTGTGTGTATTTGGGTGTATGTGTGTGTGTGTGTGTATGGGTGAAGTGTATGTGTGTACATATATGTGTATACTGTATATACGTGTAGTGAATGCAACAGGACGACAGTGTTCGTTTCCGCAGTGACAGATTCCCGGTGGTGGGACGCTCCCTGGACGTCCTCCAAAGTGGCTCCAGGGGGCAGAGAGCAAGTCAGAGAGGCAGGCGCTGATGTGATCTCACATGTGCCATGACAGACCCTCACTCAGGCGTGACCTGCTCCTCGGCTTCTCCACGCCCACCGGGAAAACACGTCTCCACGGGCAACACGTGGAGACGCAGGACTCATGGAACATGCAGACGACTGATGTCATGGGGGAGAATCTGCTTTTATGGCCATACATGGCTAGCCTGGTCTTTATATACCATCATACTCATTTCATTTTGTACAGTACTAAGGTCTAGATTTGTCACCATCATATTTTTGAAAAAACGTTCTCAAGGAAATGAAAGCTCAGCTGCTAGTTTGCAGATTTATAACCTGTGGGAGTGTCCCCTGATTCCCGGGCTAACTCATGAACACATCTAAGGTCTGCTAAGAAGTGGTTGGGAGCAGGTCTAGCGGCCCTACTAGGTCTAATGATCCTGCTAGGTCTAACGATCCTGTTAGGTCTAACGATCCTAGCTCATCAGAATGTCACTGGCCGTATCTATTTTTTGGGCGTTGTTTTTAGGACGTTGTCTTTGATACGAGGCAAAACAAATCGCAGCTGTGCTTTCGTATCCTTGAGAAAGTTCTTTGGATTAAGAACAAATCGTCAGAAAACCTGTCACTGAAGAACAGAGGATGGTGAGCGACCTTCCTTTGTTTTGAATCATCCACGACTGAGAACATTCACAAACCTATGAACCAATCAATCAATCAATCAATCAATCAACGTTTATTTGTAGAGCGCCTTTCCTACACAAGGCAACGCAAAGCGCTTCACATCCCCTATCACATCATGCATAAATCAAGCACATTAAGAGCACAAGATATATTAAAAACATTAAAAATAAAATCACAAAAATTAAAAACCTTTAAACATTAAAATCACAGATGGGACTAAAATCATAAATAGTCACAGTGCATTAAAAAGATTAAAGATAAAAACAAAGATGAAAAGATAAAATCATTCAGTTGTATATGCGCAGCTAAACAGAATTGTTTTGAGCCTAGATTTAAAAGATGCCAGAGTAGACGCCTGTCTCACATTCTCAGGAAGACTGTTCCAGACTCTAGCCGCATGAATCTGAAATGCAGTTTGCCCATGTCTAGTACCGACTCTGGGCACTAACAGGAGTCCAGTCCCTGTGCTCCTCAGAGTCCGGGTCGGTTCATATGGCACAAACATGTCATGGATGTACCTTGGCGCGAGACCATGGAGAGACTTGTACACAAGTAAACACATTTTACTTCTGTTGGCCTGTGGACTATGGACCGTATTACATTGTGTCCTTAATGAAGATTATTTATAAATAACAATACTTCTGATGCATCAATATGTCCATTCAACACTGGATTTAAACCTGCAGGTGGCGCCATTACAGGGAATGTTTAGACACATCCTACACTTATACAGTAATATTGATCAAAGCCTGAGCCTGATTCTTCGGACCACCTTCAGTGACGATGTAAAACACTGCTCCTTTTATTCAGTAAAACATTTCAAATTGCCTGTTAAGAGGTGACTATTATCTGGACAAGCTATAAAAGACAATGGCTGGTTTTAGAGCCAGGGCGCCACCTCGTCATAACAACAAGATATTACTAATGAACAAAGTGTAATCAGTGCAACAAGTTCCACCAGGGTTTCCAAACAGTGGACCGTAATCATGAACTTTAGACTGTGGGTTAGATATGCTGTGCTTTAGTTGTTCTGCCCTTTCTTTCATCGTCATTAAAAATCTCCACCTGGACACCGGCATTTCTATATCTATCTATCTATCTATCTATCTATCTATCTATCTATCTATCTCTGTCTCTGTCTGTCTGTCTGTCTGTCTGTCTGTCTGACCGACCTGGCAAGAGTTTAGTCTTGAATTGGGTTTGATATCATACGTAGATAATCCCTGAATGAAGGTTGTCAAAATAAAACCAAATACAGAAATGAAATCTACCTCTTTGTGGCTTCTCCATCACTTGGTTTCAGGCCCTTTTACCATTAAACTGCATCGCAACCATTTGGTAAAGGCCAATGATTAAATAAATGGGTTAAAAATTTGCATTATTAGTGTTCCTAAATCCTAGAAAAAGAAAAAAATATCACATTGCTTTCTTCAAGGAGTGAAGATTAAAGGGTGAAGATGTTTATAGTCGGTGCTCCTGCAGAAGTCAAACCCCCTTCCAGCTTTGGGGCGACAGTGGCTCAGTGTGTAGAGCATTGGCCTTTGAGCCTGAATGTCATGGGTTCGAGTCCACCATGAGACCTTCTCCACAGACTCCCACTGATGTCTGCTGTCGTTGTGTCCTTGAGCAAGACACTTAACCCACTTCGCCTGTAAGGAGCGTGGAAGTGATGCTCGCTGCTTGCCTTGATGTGTGTGTATATATATATATATGTATTTGTGTATGTGTATGTGTGTGTACATATATGTATGTGTGTATGTGTATGTGTGTATGTGTGTGTGTGTGTGTGTATGTGTATGTGTGTGTGTACCAGTGGGGGCGGGTCCCAGCTCAAAAATGGCCACAATGACGTGCGCTGACATGCTGCAATACCACCCCGGGCCGATGGGGGTGGACCCAGAAGTAGAATTAGCCAATGCTAACATATAGCGTTGGCAGACCTCTCAAAAATGTCTTTACAGGATGGACCAAAAGTTGTCTCTTGGTCCAAAGCTCCGTTCCACATGTGTGTCAATGCTGAGGGGGGTGTTTTGGTCCACTCTAGTTTACTTGCTGTGAATTTTTGAAGTCTCTCGTTCAAATGAATGGAGCTGCGCCGATGCGTTTTTTTCACAATTTTCTTGTGGGTGGGACCACTCGCGGCCATTTTGGATTGCTCCAGTAGAGCACATTTTCTGGCTCATTAGTTAGAACGGCGGAGATAGGCGTGACTCTGTCCATTAATATATATAGTTTATGGTATGTGCAGTATGTGTATGTATATGTGTATGTATGTGTATGTATCAAACTGAAATTTCCCCATTGTGGGACGAATAAAGGACCTTCTTCTTCTTTTCCCTGCTCCTCTGTCCTTGTCACTTCACCGTCTTTTACCTTGGCGTGTTGCTGCTGTGGTTTTATTTATGCGTGTCTGAAGCGAGAGCCTTTGACCAGAGGAAGGTGACGTGCTCCCGCTCTGTAGAAACTCAAACACTCTCCATAAAGTCATGAACGACGCAAAAGAAGCCATTTCCCAGTCGAGGGTTTGAGACAGATCATTTTTAATATCTTAAGCAGAATTTTTCTTATTCCCATGTATTTTGTTCATTATTTTCCAGTGCATGGTTTTGGTGTGACCTGAATCCTGATCATTTCACTGCTTCCTCCTGATCCTCGGTCGTCTGCTGCTGTCGCCAGATTTTGGAAAACACAGAAATGCAAAGAAAGCAGACGCATTATTCTTGTGCCGTGTTTTTGTTCAGGAAACAGAAAGTCCAGTGTTTAAGATTCAACTTCAACTCTTCAACTTTCTTCTCATTTTGAAACAAGCAGAGAAGAGAACCACACACTTGGTAAGTTGTTACTGTTGGAAAAGACAAAGACAAAAGAGACACAGAAATACTACTATGATTGTTAAAGTATAAATATGTCAGATTTTCATGTCAAGTCATCATTAAAGGGCCCTAATCTGTCATCGTTAAAGGGCCCTAATCTGTCATCATTAAAGGGCCCTAATCTGTCATCGTTAAAGGGCCCTAATCTGTCATCATTAAAGGGCCCTAATCTGTCATCGTTAAAGGGCCCTAATCTGTCATCGTTAAAGGGCCCTAATCTGTGTCATTAAAGGGCCCTAATCTGTCAACGTTAAAGGGCCCTAATCTGTCATCATTAAAGGGCCCTAATCTGTCATCATTAAAGGGCCCTAATCTGTCATCATTAAAGGGCCCTAATCTGTCATCGTTAAAGGGCCCTAATCTGTCATCATTAAAGGGCCCTAATCCGTCACCATTAAAGGGCCCTAATCTGTCATCGTTAAAGGTCCCTAATCTGTCATCGTTAAAGGTCCCTAATCTGTCATCATTAAAGGGCCCTAATCCGTCACCATTAAAGGGCCCTAATCTGTCATCATTAAAGGGCCCTAATCTGTCATCATTAAAGGGCCCTAATCTGTCATCGTTAAAGGGCCCTAATCTGTCATCATTAAAGGGCCCTAATCTGTCATCGTTAAAGGGCCCTAATCTGTCATCATTAAAGGGCCCTAATCTGTGCGGCCGATCACTGTAGTCTCTGCTAGGCCCTGACTGTGGCTCCAGCGAATCACACGGTGATGGAGGAGGAGGTGATGGAGGAGGTGATGGACGAAGTGGTGGAGGAGGAGGTGATAGAGGAAGTGGTGGAGGAGGAGGTGATGGACGAAGTGGTGGAGGAGGAGGTGATGGAGGAGGTGATGGAGGAAGTGGTGGAGGAGGAGGTGATGGAGGAGGTGATGGAGGAAGTGGTGGAGGAGGTGATGGAGGAGGTGAAGGAGCAAGTGGTGGAGGAGGAGGTGATGGAGGAAGTGGTGGAGGAGGAGGTGATGGAGGAGGTGATGGAGGAAGTGGTGGAGGAGGAGGTGATGGAGGAAGTGGTGGAGGAGGAGGTGAAGAAGGAGGTGATGGAGGAAGTGGTGGAGGAGGAGGTGATGGAGGAGGAGGTGATGGAGGATGTGATGGAGGATGTGATGGAGGAGGTGAAGGAGGAGGTGCTGGAAGAGGTGATGGAGGAGGTGATGGAGGAGGTGCTGGAAGAGGTGATGGAGGAGGTAGAGGAGGTGATGGAGGAGGTGATGGAAAAGGTAATGGAGGAGGTGGTGGAGGAGGTGATGGAGGAGGTGATGGAGGAGGCGGAGGAGGTGGAAGAGGAGGTGATGGAGGAGGTGGAGGAGGAGGTGAAGATGGACTCGATGTCTTGCGTCTGTCGGTGTGCCCCGGGGCAGCTGTGGCTTCAGAAGTAGATTATCACTACTGTGTACGGAGAGCAAGACTATTGACATGTTCATTACAAGGGAGTAGCTAGCAGCCAAGTAGCTCCCCAGTGTAAAGGTAGCTCTCCAGTGTAAAGGTAGCTCTCCAATGTAAATGTAGCTCTCCAGTGTAAATGTAGCTCTCCAGTGTAAATGTAGCTCTCCAGTGTAAAGGTAGCTCTCCAGTGTAAATGTAGCTCTCCAGTGTAAATGTAGCTCTCCAGTGTAAAAGTAGCTCCCCAGTGTAAATGTAGCTCTCCAGTGTAAAAGTAGCTCTCCAGTGTAAAAGTAGCTCTCCAGTGTAAAAGTAGCTCTCCAGTGTAAAAGTAGCTCTCCAGTGTAAAAGTAGCTCTCCAGTGTAAAAGTAGCTCTCCAGTGTAAAAGTAGCTCTCCAGTGTAAAAGTAGCTCTCCAGTGTAAATGTAGCTCTCCAGTGTAAAAGCAGCTTTCCAGTGTAAAGATAGCTCTCCAATGGAAAAAGGTTGGAGCCCCCTGCTGTACTTTTAATGACCACAAACTTTCAGTACGTCCTAAAGTAAAGTACATCCAAACCAGGCCAGAACTCCTTAATTTATTGATTAATTTTTACCCATAATTTGCTCGCTCCATAAACATTTAGCACCATGTCACACTTCCAGATCCTGCTCATAAAACAGCGGATTTGCACGTTCTCCTGTTGCTCTAGGCTCTATAAACATTGACTTTGATGCCTTTGAGACCAAGGTGACCTCCTCGTCTCCAGCTGCCCAGAGATTTCACCGCCAAGCTTTGGAATTGGCCTGAGAACGATTTATAACCCCCCCATAAGTGACGCGCCCCACACAGATCCAGGACATATATCTCAGACCCTCGGCGACAAAGGTTACGGCCTTTTTTCGATATCTTGACATTTCTATAGCCTTTAATGAAATATCACCGACAGAAGGACGCGGAGAAAGTGTTTGCCAAGCGCTCATGTTACGATCACGCGGATATCATTCTCCATTAGCAGCAAGTGGCAAATCACCAGAACGCAATGTGGACTCAAAACTGGACTGAGATAAACTATAGATTGCACTATCAGAAACAAACATATACACACATGCATGTGTACCCACTCCGACACACACACACAACACACTGCGCACAACACACCACACGCACACACACACAACACACCGCACACTACACACAACACACACCTAATTGAAAAACGATATGAAAATGTAATTGGGGTAAGCTCACACAAGTATTTTACTTCGGCTTACTCCCTTTGAGCTGTGTCTACTTTTTCTTGAAATGTTTTCCTATTGGATTGTTTTTTGTTTTGTAAGACCTGCTCAAATAAATTGATTGATTGATTGATAGATTCTCAGCTAGGATTTGGCCCAACTTTGTTCAATAAATATCAAAACAAAGCAAAGAAACTCGTATGTATTTTGAGATTCAAGACAAATGATCATTAAAACAGTGAGAAAAGAACAGTGGAAGTGTGGACTGGAGGGATGGTAGGGTAGGATTGGTTTCGCACCAGAGTGAGCGAAGGATGAAGTGTGAGATTGACGATGCAGTCCCTGTATCGGACCGTCGTGGTAGAGAGGGAGCAGCGTCTGCACTCAGAGCTGTATCGTACTGTTGTGGTAAAGACGGAGCTAAACCGAAAGGCAAAGCTCCCGATTGACCGGTCAATCTTAGTAATCTTTATTTATATACCGCCTTTTCACTGCAGATTTGAGTCTCAAAGCGGTTTACAATTGTTCATTTGTCTCTCACTCCACACAGAGATGGGAGCGGGGCCAGTACAGGAGGCGCATGCCAGAACTATTGGACATATTTTTAGTGGTAGGGGAAACCGGAGTACCCGGAGGAAACCTACGCAGACACGGGGAGAACATGCAAACTCCACTCAGAAAGGCCCTGGTCTGACCGGGATTCGAACCCAGGACCTTCTTGCTGAGAGGCGAGAGTGCTATCCACTCAGCCACCGTGCCGCCGTGGCTTCTTCGATCTTCGTTCCCTCCCTCACCTATGGTCATGAGCTTTGGGAAATGACTGAAAGAACCCAGGACACAGAGGAAGACCCAGGACACAGAGGAAGACCCAGGACACAGAGGAAGACCCAGGACACAGAGGGACTATGTCTCTCAGCTGGCCTGGGAACGCGTTGGGGTCGGACGAGCTGGAGGAAGTGCGTGAGAGGGAAGTCTGGGCGTCTTACACCGAGTCAAAGTCCGAGCAGGTTAGTTGTAGATCAGTAAAACAAAAATAGATGGATACATTCCGTTTGTGATCAGACACAGATTACAATTTAATATAAGTTTTACTAAAACGACCCTGCCCTCATTCTTTATATAAAAGCCACACTCATAGGTTCCTGTCGCACAGAGAATACATTTTAAATTCTGGTGTAGATGTTCAGGGCTCTTCATGGTCTGGCGCCTGAATACATCACTCAGAGCCTGTTGATGGTCCTCCAACTCAGAACCTGTTGATGGTTCCCAACTCAGAACCTGTTGATGGTCCTCCAATTCAGAACCTGTTGATGGTTCCCAACTCAGAACCTGTTTATGGTCCTCCAATTCAGAACCTGTTTATGGTCCTCTAATTCAGAACCTGTTGATGGTCCTCCAACTCAGAACCTGTTTATGGTCCTCCAACTCAGAACCTGTTTATGGTCCTCCAATTCAGAACCTGTTTATGGTCCTCCAATTCAGAACCTGTTTATGGTCCTCCAATTCAGAACCTGTTGATGGTCCTCCAATTCAGAACCTGTTGATGGTCCTCCAACTCAGAACCTGTTTATGGTCCTCCAACTTAGAACCTGTTTATGGTCCTCCAACTCAGAACCTGTTGATGGTCATCCAATTCAGAACCTGTTGATGGTCCTCCAACTCAGAACCTGTTTATGGTCCTCCAACTCAGAACCTAATTATGGTCCTCCAACTCAGAACCTGTTTATGGTCCTCCAACTCAGAACCTGTTTATGGTCCTCCAATTCAGAACCTGTTGATGGTTCCCAACTCAGAACCTGTTGATGGTCCTCCAACTCAGAACCTGTTTATGGTCCTCCAACTCAGAACCTGTTTATGGTCCTCCAATTCAGAACCTGTTGATGGTCCTCCAACTCAGAACCTGTTTATGGTCCTCCAACTCAGAACCTGTTTATGGTCCTCCAATTCAGAACCTGTTTATGGTCCTCCAACTCAGAACCTGTTGATGGTCCTCCAATTCAGAACCTGTTGATGGTCCTCCAACTCAGAACCTGTTTATGGTCCTCCAACTCAGAACCTGTTGATGGTCCTCCAATTCAGAACCTGTTGATGGTCCTCCAACTCAGAACCTGTTTATGGTCCTCCAATTCAGAACCTGTTTATGGTCCTCCAACTCAGAACCTGTTGATGGTCCTCCAATTCAGAACCTGTTGATGGTCCTCCAACTCAGAACCTGTTTATTGTCCTCCAACTCAGAACCTGTTTATGGTCCTCCAACTCAGAACCTGTTGATGGTCCTCCAATTCAGAACCTGTTGATGGTCCTCCAATTCAGAACCTGTTGATGGTCCTCCAACTCAGAACCTGTTTATGGTCCTCCAACTCAGAACCTGTTTATGGTCCTCCAATTCAGAACCTGTTTATGGTCCTCCAACTCAGAACCTGTTGATGGTCCTCCAACTCAGAACCTGTTGATGGTCCTCCAATTCAGAACCTGTTGATGGTCCTCCAACTCAGAACCTGTTTATGGTCCTCCAATTCAGAACCTGTTTATGGTCCTCCAATTCAGAACCTGTTTATGGTCCTCCAACTCAGAACCTGTTGATGGTCCCCTGCACTTGTTTTAAAACCAGAGGAGACAGATCCTTCCAGGTTAGAGTCTGTGGACATCTTCAAATCACAGCTTTTCACCTTTCTCCCTTTACAGAGGCCTTTATCTGAAGTGAGTCTATGATTACTCTGTACATTTGTCTTCAGTACTGACTTCTACGTGAACTACTTTACCTGTCTGTTTTTTACGAACTACCAAACTAACTTGAAAAACGCAAACTTAATCCATTGCTTTTGCAGTGTCAGAGAAGGCAACACGTTTTACAAAATGTGAAAGTCGTGGGTTAATTACTACACGCTGCAGTAGTTTCAGCAGCTCCTTCGCATCAATCACCCTGAAAAACACACAACACTAAACCACAGAGGTGGGACAAAGTCATTGTTTAGCAAGTCACAAGTCAGTCTCAATTCATTGCCCTCAAGTCCCGAGTCAAGTCACGAGTCAAGACAGGCAAGTCCCGAGTCGAGTCCAAGTCAAAGGCCAACAAATCTCAAGTCAGTCCCAAGTCCTACGGTTTGACTTTCGAGTCCTCTCGAGTCTTTTTGACCGCGATTTGTTTCTTGTTGGTCTCCACGTACTTTTGTAGGCAAACAAAATAATGTTAGGAATCATTTTGCTGGTGCATTCTCGTTGGTCTCTGACCCATGGACTAACAGTTTGTTCCATGTCGTTGGCTGCTGATAAATCAAAACTATCTACGTGATCTAATTGGATGTTGTGCCAGATGCAGGCTCAGTTACACATGCACAGACCACACATAAAATCAGAGCAGTCCGTGTCAACATACTTTTTATCTTTGGGGTTTTTAATGGGAAGTAGCAAGTGCAGCATATAATAATAATAATAATGCATCGGTTTTATATAGCGCTTTTTTGGACCCTCAAAGACGCTTCACATGTGTCATTATTCATTCACTCCATACACGGTGGTGATAAGCTACTACTGTAGCCACAGCTGCCCTGGGGCACACTGACAGAAGCGAGGCAACCAGTATGTGCCATCGGCCCCTCCGACCACCACCAACCATTCACACACACACCAGACTCATTCTAGGCAATGGGGGTGAAGTGTCTTGCCTAAGGACACAACGGCAGTTTGGCACTTTACAGCCGCAGCCGCCCCACTGTATGAATATGAGTATTGGGCTAGGACCTGTATCTATATAATCAGTTTAATGTCCGTAGTGGTTATT